ATTGGCACATCTCTGAGACCATGCACTAGGGATATTGGCGATAGACTCTCTCATTTCGGTAACCGTCTTTTCAAAATGCTCAAGAGATGTGGTGGATATGGCCCGATGACCTTTTGCCCCCTGTGTCACCTTCCTAACGCTCTGGTAGAGGCAAAAGCAAGGTTCTAGAATGTCAGACATCCTCCGTGATTGGTCAAGCAGGAGGACCATTGCATCACACTGTGCATCCACTCTCATTGGAGGGCAGGTTGACAACGAACAGGACCGTCCAATCACGTTGTGCTATGTGGGTTAACGCGGGAAGGGCCATCCAATGAGAGGCCAAGCTGCGCATGGCGTGACACAATACCTTCTATATAAGGAACTGCCAGCCCCCCCGCAACTGGCATTCTCTCCCATTCTGTGAAGGTGCCAGGGCACTGACTGAACCAGCTTGCAACACATCTTCTGAGATGCCCTTCAAACCCCCAAAGCCTGAGAAGGCCGGGCGGACCGCCCCGCCGAAGGAGAAGAAGCCAAGGCGCCCCAGCCACTCCAGGTGTGGCGATGGTTTCGCCACCTATTTCCCCAGGGTGCTGAAGCACATCCATTCGGGCCTCATCCTCTCCCGGTCGACCGTGAGCGTCCTGGACTCCTTCGTCAAGGACATGTTCCAGCGCATCGCCAGCGAGGCCGGCCGCCTGGCCCGCCAGAACCATCGCTCCACCATCACTTCCAGAGACATCCAAACAGCCGTGCGCTTCCTGCTGCCCAGGGAGATCAGCAAGCACGCGGAGTACGAGGCCACAAGGGCCCTCAGCCCAGCCGCTCACATCCCCGCCAGTAAGCCGACTCTGGGCGCCCTCAGCAGCCAACCCCAAAGGCTCTTTTCAGAGCCACCAAGGGACTGAAAGACTGCTGCACAGCTCGGGTCTCGGGGGCTCGGGTCTGGGGGTGGGCGAGGGAGTACCCCGCTCTTTCTTAAAGCATTCTTTTTATATATATACCTTTATTTTGTTTACTTATATGTGGTGCTGAGATCGAACTCAGGGCCTCACAGGTGGGAAGCAAGTGCTCTGCCGCTGAGCCCCAGCCCCAGTCCTAAAGCATTCTTTAATAAACATTGCCTGGGCTGGGGCTGGGGCTCAGCGGTAGAGCGCTTGCTTCCCACCTGTGAGGTCCTGGGTTCGATCCTCAGCACCACATAAAAATAAAATGTATTGTATCCATCTACAGCCATATATAATACTCAATCTATTACATGAGCATTTCTGTCACTTATACGCCTAGATCAGTATCATTGTAAGGATCAGTCAGGTCATAATGTCTCAGAGGCTCCAATTACACTTGCTGGGACAACAATGAGCTTTTTCGGTTGCAGTGACCTGTAACTTACACAGACTCCACCCGCCAGCAGAAGCAGAGAATCTAGCTTCATCTCAAACTTCAATTTCATCAGGATGTCTGGTCTCAATTTTAGATAAAAGATATAGGATAGAATAAGAATATCTCTTGGGGCTTGA